AGGTTGACATATTAGTTTTGCATTCCTTGTTCTAGTGGCGGCATGAGCATTGCATGGGGAACAACATCGCTAAAGGTGTAGTGTGTATAGGGTCGTCTAGATCATCATATGTTCCAGATTGGACCATGTTGCTCCATTATATACTCTATGCTTCTGGGATGCGGAGGAGCTTATTTTTAGTTATCTAGACCCCCTTCTACCGGACATTTATTTTATTTTTCAAGGGGATAGTGTTCTTGGTAAAATGTATGTATGATTACTAGTTTTTGATAGGTTTTCTCATAGATGGATTGTTGACCAAATAGTGAACCTAGCCATTCCAAAACATTGTTTAATGGTAATATCCGCTTGAAAACCCCTTTTTAAGGTACAAAGATCGTAAGAACCTATAAGAAGTTATATTTTATTTTGTTTTTGTCCCTTGGATTGAGGCCCTATGATAAATCCCATTATCAATACTTGCGCCATCAATGAGTATACTTAATCTCACTTGAAGTAGAGGCACCTTACTGCTTGAATAGATTTGAGTTGGAGATTGAGAACAAGTCAGGAAAGACAATTATGATTCTCTAAACTGAAAAGGGGCGCGGATACATATATGAATTATCTAGGACAATTCTCTTAGGATAATGGGATTCTTAAGTAGGAAACGATGTCTTGAAACAATATGGTGTTGCAAGAGAAAGACTCGTATCCTATTGGACGCAGTGATGTAGATACTACAAGTATATATATATATGTCAGCTTCTAGGAGGTGCTATATTAACTACTATGTGTATCTCGAAAAGTGTGCCTTTGATATTTGAATCTTAAAACCCCGTGAAGAGTTATGGACCAATCAGAAATCTCATATGTACCATTGTCGGGTTATTGGGTGTATGTTATTCTTGTCAACCCATTTGGAAATGATCTAAACAAGTGGTCCATAGTATAAACTCTAAGTAGATGTTTTAAGAACTCCGATGGGTATGTCTTGGGTTATATGTCTGAAGAGGGTGACCTGAAAAATGTTGAATCCTGCAATGTGGACTTCATTGAGCTGAAGTTCTTAAGAATTAGGAGGTCTTAGATGACTAAGATCTCAAATAGATAACCATGAAGAGATTCCTCCACTAGAGGATGATAATGGGAGAGTTGCCATGGTCATTAAGGATAATGGGCGGGAATCACCATAGTTTCGTGAGTCTCATAGGAGTACATGCAGTAGAGTTCTTCGGAAATCTTGAGATTAAGGAGGAAAAGTCTAACCAGCATCTCCATTGATGAGAATGAAACGGTTTTCCTAGTAGGAAACACTGAGATATTTTGTTACGGGCAATTGGATTGCCTCAATAGACCAAGAGATAAAGATTCCATCAAGGAGAACGGAGTATGCAAAAGGGGTTCACTTAATTGACGTTGTGAACTACATTGTGATATTTTTCTTGGTGGTAAAAATAGTATCATTTCACCTCAGAAATAGTGTCATTTATTCACTTAGAGCATAAGTAGCAATTTTAGAGTCTTTTATGTTTTTTTATTCACTTAAAGCCTATGATAATAACTACTCATGATTAGCTTAGATGGATGGTCAGAATTAAGTCTTTTTTAGGGTTTTGTGATAAAAGAGATGTACTCAAGCATACTGAAGCATCTTGTTATGGACTTTATTCAAAAGCCTACAACAATCAATACTCATTCTTTTATCTCTAGTTTTTTCATCTTTCTCTAATTTTGGATCTTCTCTATCTTCTTTTCTAAACCCTAGCTCCAAGCTACTAGGTTCATTATGTTTTAGTACGTTTACTTATGCCCTTAGGTGAATAAAATGACTCAAAAAATAAATAAAAGACAGATTTAATGATCATTTTTCCCTTATGCAGTTCCTCTTGTAAACTTTAAGTTTGTCTCTCTTATCTAGATACTCAATAACGGTATTCTAGGCTACGTATTGGTTGATCTGGATTATTAATAGTTGACATCAGAAAATATCTCCGCTACAATAGTGGGAGTGATTTCTTGGTATAACAAATTATATGACACAATTGGATGTCTAATATGGAAACAAAGTATATGGATTGATTTGTGTAGCATTGTGGGAAAACTTATGGCTTATGAGGAACCTGCAAAGCTAGGGATTATAGTGAGTGTTGGAAAGCTTGTTAGCATGTTTTTAGTGGTAACATGGTGGCACAAGCTTTCTCAAAGAATCATAAGTATCATAGTAAGACATAGCATGTAGAGATTGGACATCACCATATGTGAGGTGTCAACGAGAGAAGAGAGACAACCTTTGACATGTAACCCACTAGCATCCCATGACAGCCTTTAGCTTGAGAGAAGTACAAGGGCTTGTGTCAAGGGATTGGCATCTAGGAGTCCCTAACTAATTTCTGTACCATCACTACTGTCTGACTCTTTCAATACATTTTTTTTTATTTTATTTACCATTCATGTGCAAGTTTTGGTGCTATTTATTCATGACAGTTTTTTATTGCAATTCATACTTATGAACTAAGATGCTTGTTCATTGTTAGATATATCATTGGCAGGCTTGGTCTGCTCTTTCACATGACATTGACCAACCTCAATGTCTAGGACATTGGACGATGATACACACACAAGGTGTGAATTGCTTCGATATGAGATCGGATGAGATTTTATAGTTAGGAATTGACATGATCTATTTGAAGTATATCGTCCCACTGGATCATGTGGCTTGTAAGATAGCTAGGTGTGAGCATCGGGGATGTTCAAGTTTGTTGCTTGTGTACAACCTCGGGGCGCGTGGGATGTGATGGAAGGAATGGTTGCGACTGAACTAAGATTTGCATGGTGTAAATCTGACCTAGATCCAAATATTGTTTATTTACCCCGTGGCGTGTGACTCATACCACACGTGCTCGGTGAGAGACTACTATTACCATAGTGGTAGATATGTATAAGATGATCCATATTAGCTATTACACCTTGGGAGATATAGTCAGCCACATCGTGTCCTTGAGTACCCTTATTGACCCTGTGACATTTATTAAAACATGGAGATTTAATGTCGTTACTTTAACATGCTCTCTTATGGTCATGAATGATTCGGTCGAGTTGGGGCTAGGGCTAAGAAAGCAATCAAGTCAAAACAGAATAATTGTAAGGCTAGGGAAAAATCATTGACACCACACTGTGATTGTTACCTAGAGATATAAGTGTACTCTAATAAGATGCTCATCAATTGACCAGTGACTTGAAGTTTTTATGTTGGGTGTTCTTTTGCAAAATGTTTTTGAAAAGCTATTATTATATGATATAATATTTTTATATTTGAATTTCTTAGCATGCATAAGAACAATGTTTTATTAGATGCATGAAGTGGGAGTACACGAAGGGGTTGAATAGTCTCCTAAGCATAAAGTATCTCACAAGGGATTAGTAGACATACTCAATCTGGTGTGGCCAAGTGAGTCTAGGGCAGGCTGGAGCATTTTTTAATAAAGAAAAGCGGTGTTCCACGTTAGTTTGATGGAATCTTAATGTGGTTCTCTCTGTAGAGATGCATTGCTCAAAGTCTCACGACGCATTTCCGGACGAAATATGGCATAGTTCTTGTGTGGCTATATATCACTAGATGATCATAGTGGGATTTGATATCATTTTTGTGCACCGACAGTGGGACGATTAGGAGATATTGGATTTGGAGTCCTCTCCATGTAGGTGTAAGAACTTCCTTGAAATTTTCTACATGCTTAGTGGTTAATAAAGAAGAGGATGTTGATAGAATTATTAAACTTGTTAGTGGTAGAAAGAAAAAGTGAGGGAATCCTATGTGATATGTGATTTTCAATTAAAGAAAAGCTTCATTTAAGGGAATATTATAAAAAAAGAAGTAAGATAAACTCCCTTTTGAATAATATTCCCCTATGGGATATTTTCTATATAAAAGTTTGTAAGAAAGAGAAACAGATAGAACTTCATGAGGTGTACTTTCAAAATATTTTCTCTCTCTAAAACCTAAATCTCTCCTCCCTCTACTAGGTTTTTCTCTCTCTAAGCCCTAGAATAAAAAATCGTAGGTGATCTAAGAGCTCTCGGGCCTTCTATCGAAAGGTCATGATTTGCACTGCGTATAGAATATTGCCTGTTCTAATAATCGGGAGTCGGCCTTCGGATGCGTACATTAAACTCTTGAACTGGAGGAGATATGAAAAAATGAAGGGCAGCATCACATCATCCACACAAGAAGAATCGGATTTGGAAAGGGGTATGCGATTTCTATCCAATATGTTTATCTTTTTGTGTTTCCACCGCTTTCGTGATTCATGTTGGAATCCTATACTATGGAAGTTCATAACTCTCTTCATCATGAGAGGGAAAATGATCACATTATCTACAATGACCGAGTTGAAATCCATGGAATTTGAGGAATGAACTCCAATTAGGTTAAGCAAAATCAAAAGCAAGGAGGGATGCTCATGGAACCATGTGCGAGTTATGAGAGCAAACCCACTTCAAGTTGAAACTATTCCAGCTTTGATCTGTTGATCTCTTACATACCTGGTTGTAGAGAAATTTATACGTAGTACAGGGTACGTCACAGAAATGATCATCATTAAGAGGCCAAAAAAATTGGATAGCAAGATCTCAGTGACAATTCGTAGTGCATTTATAATAACATATACAGTAGTTCAAAACTTGGAGTTGGTAATGCGCTCCTCAATAGGGTAAACATAGAAGCTTGGTCTCATATGCTGGAGTTTGTTACCCTTTTTTTGTATCGTTAGAGGGGATGCACAAAGCTAGATATTGCTGTCCACTAGTTTAGATTCACTTTTTTTTCTTTTTCTTTCTTTGGGCAAGTTTTTCAATACCATATTACTTTTTTCCCATCCTTTTTGGCTTATTATCTCTTCCCATCAAGGTGCATTTCTCCATGTGAAATTGTTGCCCTATATTCATTTTGTATTTTTGGCCAAGCTTACATCTACTTATGCTTGAGATTTGAGGTTGACCTAACACTAACCAAATATTAGGTACCTCGCCCCAGATTATGCATTAACTGGAAAGCTGACAGAGAAATCAGATGTCTATGCATTTGGTGTCTTGTTATTAGAACTTCTAACAGGAAGGAAGCCAATTGATACATCCCGAACTCCTGGCAATGAAAGCCTTGTGGAATGGGTAAGAATTTTTTCATCTTTCATGTTTGCAGTTATATGCATTCTATGGTTGTCTGTTTTACGTTGCTGATTGTAATTGAATTTACTATTAAATCTGATAGTCTTTTGGCAATGCTTTATATATATATATATATATATATATATATATATATATATTGATAGAAGCCTAATTAGGTATTACATACAAGTTGAACGAATAGAAAGGCATCTTCAATAGGATGCATAGCTCAAGAGTAGATGTATATTTATATGTATTCAAAGGCATGCTCACATGTAGGCTGGAGTTTCGGAGGTAAATTTGATGCAGTAAAGTGACATCTCAAAAATATAATCAAGATATTCATTTGTATATCATACTAGTGCCTCACATATGCAAGCTAATGACGTTGCGTGAATGTGAATGGAGTGCAGATAGTAAAAACTTGAAAGGAAAGTTTTAGGATTTCTAAAACTATTATTGTAAAAGAATGAAGAAATCCCTCATCAGAATAAATTAATCTTTAAGCATCCCCCTAGAGATTTATCCTTTCATTTGCTGGAAAGTGGCAAACCTCTACAAACCCCTCATGAACTATCATCTTCAGGACTTCACACAAGGGACTCCACTTCCTGTATATCTGTTCTCTATGTGGGAAAGCCAATGAGTGGGGTTGACCATTTTTGCATTAACAATAAGGGCTTATCCTGTGGGATGCCATCAATAGCTCTTATCTTCTTCTTTACCCATGTTGAGAAGCTGCCTCTGCTTCTTTCATGCAAGATTTATGTGTGTTCTAATTGTCAGATCATTTGGAAGGGTTCAGAGAACCATCTTGGGTTGATATTCCATCCTATCAACAGTTTGTGCTTTCGACAATGGCACTGTTTCATGGTATCTAGTGTTGATAGTTCTGTGGAATAAGAGGTATTCACCTTAAGTATACACTCCCACATGCATATGTTCGCGTAAGCCTGCTAATCCTTCCCACAAGGTTGTTTGTGATAAGGTTTCTCTAGCTAATATGACGCCTTCTCTGTTCTGTCTAACATCTTTCTTGTTTAGTGTCATGATTGGAAGAAACTAACTTTCGCATTGGCATGTCCTTGGGAGTATCTGCTTTATTTGGCTGCCAGGATATAAAAGAAACAAATAAACTGCCAACCGTCAAAAGTGTTTTCCTTATGCTGGTGTTGAGAAGTTGTTATGAAACCAGAAAGTTTGGAGTATCTGGACATGTTTCTCCCTACAAATGATGAGTATCTAGATGAGTCCGCTTAGACATATTTCATTTTGTGCCCTTCTGTTGAATAAGTTCAGACTACACCTAACTCTGTTTCTCTACGAGTTTATACCAAAAGAATCTCACGACACTAATGGGTTCGAGCATCCTTTTGTATCCCAGGAGGCCGCTCACTTCAGACCATTCAGATGAGGACATTGAATCTTCCATTTAGATCATAATCTCACTGCCATCAAGCTCAAATACTCCAGTTAAGTTTAGATTTTGTTTTCCTGTTTTGATGCTACCCTCTCACTTTCTTTTTAGTTCATTTTTTGGTCATTCTTCTGTAATCATCTGCAATTTCAGAAGCCTCTACCTATATGGAGAGTTAGTATGGATGTTTGAGTCTTTCTCTACAAGATAAATTCAGTGTCTCAAGAAAAATCACATCTGTGATGTATGTGGTCCCTCTGCCAATTAGCAAGACACTCACTGGTTGAAAATGGATATATAAGATTTAAAAATTTACATCTTGCAGTGGCCACAAGATGCACCTTGTTGTCAAAGATGATATTCAAGTGTATGTCGTTGATTGACAAAACATTTGCTCTAGTTGCCAAGCGCATGATGTGTATTCTACTCTTTGTTGCCTATGTCAAATGAAACCTATTTAGCCTATGGTTTGTAGCCTTCAGGAGAACTCTAGGCAACCCCCATTTAACTATCTCCCTGGTTTGTGGTTTATTTTTTTGATTGGGAAAGGTTATATGCGGTCTGAAACAGGCTCATCATCTTGGTTTTAGAGACTCTAATTCTCTGTGTTGCGATGCGGTGTTTAAACAGCGCTCCGCCCTCTCTATGTTTCAAGCAATCTGATGCTAGAGACCGTTATACTTTTAGGTTTATGTTGATGTATTATATTGTCATAGGTGATGCATTAACGATATTCTCACTCAAGTATTAATGGATCATTCAGTGATTTTTTCAGAATAAAAAAATATGGTGACATGATTTTAGGCTTCTGGAATTGTGGTTTTCTAGAGGTTGACCTGTATATTTGGAGTCAATTGATGCTCCTCTTTTCTTTTTTTTGGGTAAATCAGTGGGGAATATAGGTCCCTACCGTTTTTAGAAATAATTAGCGGTTTTTGAATGCATCAGTGGGAATGGAAACCTAAACCGGTAGCTGAGGCTCAAGTAGTGCTACCACCACAACCTCAACGCCATTCCTAGTTGATGGTCCTCTTTAAGTTAACTTAAGCTCTCATCTAACGACAGTGACTAGTTTCATGACCCAATCCTTATAGGTTTTTGGTTGGTACCCTTGCAGCTTAGGCATCTCATGAGTTCAGGTTGCCACAATCTGTTTCGACACCAACAAATGCTCATCTCAAGGATGATCAATGTAAATTAGATACAGGATGAGGTTTGTACAAGGAATTAACCTTAAACAATCAAAGTAAGGGACACCTCAAAACTATGCTGAATGATGTAGTTTTGGTACCAGTAAGCCTTGCGATGGCATGAAAGTCTATTGTCACCCAAAATATGAAAATTATGAAATTTTAAAGTTCCAAAATGGTGAAGATTGAGCAGATCTATAACCAGTTAAATTTTTTGAAAATGGACAGTCCAGATAATGCATTACAAGATGCAATATTTTTATGACTTGAAATATTTTTTTCCTAGATCAATACATCTCAAGGTCAAGATGATCAATTTGAGGGTTTCCCAGCATTGCAACAACCTTTTCCAAGTCATTTTTGAGGTGCACCTTACTTCAATAGTATAAGGTTGACACCTTATAAAAACCTTTTCGTACATATATATTAGTCCCAACTTCTTGTCAAAAACGTTTTCGGTCTACTACATGAGATCCTAGGTTGATAACTTTGAATGAGTCAATTGTCTAGAGCCTTAGAGATGTACGATTTCTTACTTTATATTGATGGGATATTCTCTTAATTATTTGCATATCAAGAAGCAGGAGGTGGTTTTCAAGCCAAGTGCTAAGCTGGAACCAATGTTTTATTACTAGGATAGGCACGGTCAATTGTCCACCCACATATCTGTCTTGGATCACTGGATTTGCGATTCAGATCGGTCGACATCGTTCTGAGTAGGCAATCCATAACCATATTAAAAACATAAAAAGATAAAATTCAAAAGAGGGGTTTATAGTATGGGGATTTAAGGAGACCTAAGAAAACATTATACAAGCTTAAGAAAAAAAGAAAAAATACTATGAAGGGGGGGGGGGGAGGGGGGGGTTTAAGGGGGAGAACTTGGCCAAGGCCCATACCTTCCCTGAACCAGTTTCGGTCCTGACCGATTCTTAGTCTGGATCTACAATTCCCAATCCATATCTCTAAGTTTTAAAATGCTAGCTGAAATATTGAGCAATGTCCACATCATTAGATGAGTTTGTTTGGCCACAAATGTTGTTGCAGTATGATGTTGGTTTAACTATTTTCTTTGTGCACATCACATGATGGAGGCAATATTAGTTCCACCTAAATAGTTCTTAATTGTATTACCATCTTTACGGGGAGTACCTTTCCTAGGGGAGGCTCTTGCACCAGAAGCCTGGTTTCACATTCTTAGAGTTGATCCTCCTTGGGAATTTTTCCTTGATTGGGATCTCAATCCCATTTAACATGGGCTTGTCAGCTATAGTCATTAGATGTATAATCAGACGAGTTTTTGTTTATTGATAATTCATATAGAATTAGATGAATTGTCAAATATAAAGATGAGTGCAGTCACAAACTTACTATACTCATTATCATCATTCGAGGCTTGTCCCAACTATTTGAGTTCGGCTATATGAATCATGTTTTGACATTTTGCTCTATCAATGACCATACTCTCAGTCAGGCCATAAATCACCATACCTCTTCTCACTACTTCCATCCATGTCCTTTTGAGCCTTCCGTTTGCCCTTTTAGAGCCTTTTAGTTGAACCAAATCACTCCTTCTTGATATTGTATTAGGTCTACGCTGCGCAATCCTGTCCCACATAAGTCTACTTTCTCTCATATTTTCGCCTATTGGAGCACCCCTAAGTTCCCTCGAATGTATTCAATCTTAATACTATCCTTTCTTATCTTGCTACTCATCTATTTTAACATCCTCATCTCAGTGACACTCATCCTATGGATAAGTTTTTTCTTGACTGCCCAACATTCCATGATTTTCCATCCCATAAAGCATAGCTGGTCTTACAGCCATCCTATAGAACTCCCCTTCAGTTTCATTGCTATATTTGGTGATCACATAAAACTCTAGATGCACAACTTCGCTTCGCCTACCCAGCTCTAATTCTATGCACGACATCTTCCTCATCTATCCATTCTCCTAGATTAACTACCCAAGACATCGAAAATAATCTCTTTCATCAATCTGAACTACTTCTTCGTTTCTACTCTTATTATTACTAAATCTGCATTCTATATATTCTCTCTTAGCCCTGCTAATTTTAAAACCTTTAGATTCTAGAGTACCCCTCTGAAGTGTTAACTTTGCCTTGATGCTGCCTATAGTGTCATCAATCTATGTCATCTACGAGGAACATACACTATGGTATCCTATTATGTAGATACCTAGTTAACTTGTCCATAGCCGAAACAAAGAGATATGGCCTCCCTTGATGTAGTCTATAATCATTGAAAGCTCACTTGTCTCTCCACTAGTTGCTCTCACACTGGATAATACTCTCTTATACATATCTCTCACCATGTCAATATATCCTCTAGAGACCGATTTCTTTTCCAATAAAGACCATGTGGAGGTCTCTTCCCTTCTCTCTAAAAATCTTAATCAGTTGCTTAAGTAAGAAATAGCCTCAATTGTTTACCTCCTTGGTATGAATCTGAACTAATTTTCTGAGAGACTTGTTTCATGTCTTAATCGGTACTCAATCACTCTCTCCACAGCTTCATAGTGTGGCTCATAATTTTTATCCCTTGATATTTCTTATAGTTTTGTATGTCTTCTTTGTTCTTGTAAATAGTTACTACAATACTTTTTCTCGATTAGTTTGGTATTTTTTTTATTCTCAGCATCTTGTTGAGCAACTTGGTGAACCCAAATATATACCAATCTCTCTTATACACTTCCAAACCTATATCAGGATGCCATCTGGTCTTGAAGCCTTTCCTAACTTCATTTTTATCAAAGCTTCTTTTACATCTGATTTCCAATCAATTGTATCTATTACCTCCCATCCCATTTCTGTTGAAGGTTCCTCCTAAAGCTGTGCTCTCATGGTGTTCATCATTTAACAATTTTTGAAAATAAATTTGCCACCTTTTGTTGACCTCGTCATCCTTCATTAAGACCCTCTGATCCTCACTTTTAATGTATTTAATATGATCTAGATCCTTACATGTCCTCTCTCATTTTTTCTAGTTTGAAAGCATCATTTTCACCTCCTCTCGTCTCTAGATTATTGTATAGATCATCATATGCCTAAAGTTTAGCCTTCCACTTTCGTAGTATTTTTTTTTTAGCATTTTTATATTCTTCTAAGTTTTGATCATTTTCATTACATTGCCAACTTTTATAACGTGATCGTTTTTCCAATTGCCTTTTGAACTTCATCACTCCCCCACCAAGTTTCTTGATCGAAAATTTTCTTTTCCTCTAGATTCCCCTAAGAATTCTTTCGCTACTTTCTTAATAAAATCAGCCATCTCATTCCACAAAACATTAATTTCATGTTCAAAATTTCATTTTCCTTCTTTTACCAATTTATTCATAAATAAGTCTATTTTCTTTCTTTTTAAATTCCATCACCTTGTTCTTGGATACCTATTAATTTCATTCATTCTCTTCCATCTTTTTATGCAAACATCCATAACCATGAGCTCATGTTGTGTGGTCAAACTCTCTCTTAGTATAACGTTGCAGTCTTTAGATGATGGTCGATTTACCTTCTTAACTAAAAAGAAGTCTATCTTGCTTTTAAATGATGCACTTTTGTAGATTATTAAATGTTTATCTCGCTTTTTAAAGTAGGTGTTGTTATTGCTAGGTCGTAAGCCGTAGCGAAATCCAAAATAGCATCACCCATCTCATTTCTTTCCCCAAAACCATATCTCCTATGTAGTCTTTCATATCCTCTACTATCTTTTCCAAACATTACTATTTAAGTTCCCTCCTTAAAAAGTTCTCTCTCAGGGAATATCCTAGCATGATCATATAACATAGGCTCAGAATTCATGAAAAGATGTGGCAAAGTTTTATGCTAGTTGCCTATCTAACATAGCCTTCCTCTTTTATCCAGGCATGGGACCGACATGACCAACTTGGGACTAGCCATGGCAGAGTTACTAACTCACTATAATAATTTTGTTATTTTTCTATTTTTTATGCTTCTAGTTAATTTTTACTCTTATTAGAATCTGTTTTATTTCATTTAAGGTTTTTAGTTGAGATCTAGCCATCATAAATTGATTATCTGGGAATTCCAATTTCGCTGGACCTTATTATGTAAGACTTCTTTAATACTAAGGTTTTCCATAGTTTGCACAAAATTTTGAGAGTGGAGATCTCAGATTTTCTTTTGAGGCGGCATGGTTGCCCTTTACATAAATAAATACAAATATATATGCCAAATGCTATATATAAGTATATCCAAAGAAATATGCTAAATGCAATATATAAATTGGATTTTATATAATGAGATCATTAACCTTTGGTATAAGGAGGTCATAATTACTTATAACCATCTGATGTGAAATCCAATAGCTTAGGTGTGTCACAAAGTTTGAGAAATTCCTTTTAAACTTTGAGCTTGGTCAATGGAATAAATGCAGCCACCTAATTTCACATCCAATGGTCAAGATTACTTGTGATCACCTAGTACCAAAGGTAAATGGTCTTGATCTATACTTTTCCTATATAAATATAATGCAAAACTAGCCCCTAGAAGATGAGGTATGAACACTGTGTAAGCTACAATATTGAATTTTGTAAGCCAAAAAGTATTTTGTTTCATTATTTTAACATATAGATTAGGTTATGGCATAGGTCTTGTTTCATAGCATTTAACTGCAAAAGTTGGCAAGATACTTGAAGAGACATTCTCATGATTGAAAGGACAGTCCACCTCAATGCAATCGCTCTGGCAACACAAGCTTTTCTTCTACATGATGACTAGTGCTGTGCTGCATAATATTAGCTGAGTGGAAAGATACTACCGGCTACCAAAAGCAAAAACAGTAGGAGCAAAGCATTCATTACCAATGTTGGTTTGAGTTATTGCTGCATTGTGATCAACATTAGATCTTATGCTGGAATGTATTGCAAATCGATTCCTGTGCTAAATCTAGTTATTCTCATGCCAGCCAACTGCTACAACTTATTAAATATTAATCCCAAGAAACGGCACAAGTAGGTTTTGGAAACATTGACAATCCAAGATCTCCAAGGATCAGATTATCAAAAAGATTAGCAAACAACTATTTGATTGTACTACTGTTACCACACTTATGACTTTTCGATGTTTCTCCTTTTCAATGTAAGTTCCCAGTTTGCATCTTTCAAATGGTAGATTCTGTACAATGTGACCCATCTAGTGTGCTGATAAAATTCTTATTTGAGTGAGAAATGACAATTCTCGAGTGATACTGACAAAAATGAAGTTCACGTGATCAAACCATTGGAAAACTAGGAAAATGAAAATAAACAGTCAGACCATAGGAGCACTAAAAAAAGTGGCAATAAATGGTCAGACCATTGGTTTAAGTATGTCCAGGACTCAACACGAGTCGTTTCTAATTTATATGACAGGCACGACCTCTACTGGATCGCGTTATATCAGAGAGGAATTTTGAAGTTTTGGCAGATCCAAGGCTAGGAAGCAGCTTTGACAGAGAGGAGATGCTGTGTGTAATGGAGGTTGCTGCTGCATGCCTGCAACTGTCAGCTAGAAGAAGACCAAGGATGGGGCAGGTGAGAACAAAAGTTACAAAGTATTTTCATTTTTCTGAAAATCTGGAACAAGAATGATTCGGTGGGAAAAAATAATGCATTTATTAGCATAACGGAATTTCAGTTTCAAATTTACAATGTTTAAACTATAAAAAGTTTTTTACTTCATAAATAAAGAATTTGTATTAAAGAGTAGGGAAGATATTCTTTTTGTTTTCCTTTCTTTTAAATTTGACATATCTTTCCTACCTTTCTGCTATTGTTCTATTTATGTTTCGAAGATTCCCAACCCACCTTACAAAGATCTTTTCATGAATTCTCAGCTAAGATAATTACTCGGGACTTTTAATAACTTGGGCATATCATACATTGATAGTGTAGGGCACATGGTTTACCATAGAACATTCACTGCCCCGGATCAATAGTAGGTCATGGTTCAGATGACTGTCTATTATTCAGAACTACAGTGCATCCCCACTGTCCATTATCAGTAATGGATAGTGGATGCCCATTGTGTATACCATGGACCATACACCATAGGCAAATGCTATCCAATACCATTACTGAGTGAACAGATCAAAGTGAAAACGCAGGTGGTTCGGATGTTGGAGAATGATGAGTCGTGCTTTGATCACGGGGAGTCAGATGTAGTAACAAGTGACAGACAGGACTCAGTGCAGAACCTGGCGTTTGCTAAGATTTTCCAAATGATGGCTGTTGGGGATCATCAAAACCTCAGCCAATACACAATTGGTTGCTCTAGCCAAGTTTATAATTCATTTAATTGTCAAAACTCTGATGATTCTCCCAAACTGAGGTCAACCGGCATGTGAGATGAGAATGCAGAAAGTGTTGTTTTCTTAGTAGAGATGTGAAGTTAGGTTGTATCCAAGTGTCCCATGATTATTCCTTGGCTAATGGGTTGAAATCTGACATTATGTGTGTGTGTTTGGGAGGGGTGCGGAAGAGAAAGAGAGTGTGTGCAGTAAATGACAACGTGGTATTACTCTACCAGGTGAGGATGAGCTCCTCTATGGGCATGAGCATTGTCCATAAACAAGCCAATGGAATATAAATTCCAATGGCTGAAAATAAATGGTACCCAGGTGAGTGTTTGTCAAGACCATCACCATCTGCCAAAAGGAACGGACATTGGATACACTCAATTCTATCTAATACTCTGCACTTTAATATCATGATTACTGTTTATCATTAGTTCCCAAATAGGAAAATAGAGAAATGTCTAATCCAAAGGGACCTATTATTTGTTGGTTGAGGTTTATATAAGATTGTCTCCTTGTATTTTAGAAGTAAGGCACACCTCTAAAATTTAATTAGAGATGTTCCGGTATTCGAAATGTTATGATGGTTTGGAAACCTATTTTTATCTCTCGACTATAAAATTCAAAATTAAAACAAAGGTACAGATCAATAAACATTTGAAAATTTTGAGAATGGATGGTCCATATAACTTGTTATCCGATGCGATATTTTTTGGAATTGAAATTCCCTTTTACTTCATGCTCATTCATCTTGAGGTCAAGATGATCAATTCATGGATTCTCCAATGCAGATCACTTTCTTTTGTAGAATTTTTGAGGTGCAGCTTACTTCATGTGTACAAGGTTTTTCCTTGTTTTCAAGACGACTAACTACCATTGTCCTTTCAGAAATTGTATCCTTATCCGAATCTTTTGGTTTTATGAATGCCGTGAAGTATCATCCCACTCTAGCACGACCAGTTTAGTAAATCGCACTACTAGGGCTATCGAAAACGAAAATTACCGAAAAAATCTCGAACATTTAAAAAGTCCCAAATAGAAATATAGTTCTTTTATACATTCAAGTACCATTTTTTCAAGGAAAGGGGTTGGGGTCGTGGTGGTAGCATCCCAACATCCAATTATCACATCGTGGTATCCATTCCTATTGTTGATATCCCCAGTTGATATCCCCAATTAACACCTTCAAAATGTAACTCTCTCTAATATATTGAAAAAACGGGTGGGGACCTGTCTTCCGCATTGAATTACCCAAAAAAACAAAATTACCACTGTCATATTCCTTTTATTCCTAAATTTGCCCCCATTTAGACATTCAATCTCCGAAATGGAGTATATTTCATTTTTTGCTTATTTCTCTCAAGCTTTCAGGGTTAAGATAAGGGAGGTCTAGGGCTTGGAAAAATTATAATTCTAGGACATCAGATAAATTTATTTAAGATGCAAAATCGACGCTTAATCCATAATCAAAGCAGATCTTTTTGTACTTTCTTCTAAATTTCTTCTTAAAACTTCTACAAAATTTGCCTAGGATACGTAAAGTACCCCCACCTACAAGATCATTAACACTCCCAAATTCTCTCCCCAAAAACAATAAAGAGGAAAGTAAAGATGTACATCATCTTTTTAAGAATTGACTCAAGGCATAGGTGATCAAAGTGGTAAGTACTATAACATGATATCTTAAGTTCCATTTCTACCACAAGTAGAGATCCCTTCCCCGTAGATCTACCCTGAATATTTACGAATAGGCTCAAAACATAGATATTCAAGGTAGCAGGCGTCACAACACATCTTGAGTTCTATTCATGTTATGGGTAGGGGGCTCTTTCCTTGACCTACCCCAAGAGAGAGAGAGAGAGAAGTAAGGGAAAAATAAGAGAGGAGAGAAAATAGTTACGTAGGCAAGTATTATGTGCAAGTGATTGTTACAAATTGCTTCATAAGAATTTATGTTAATAATTTCAAAGATATTTTGAAAACACGATATTATTGTTTTATGATATCTACTACATTGATATATGGCCTATAATTGCTACAATAATGTATTTTGAATTTATGTGCATAGTAATAAGATATGTGTGCATGGCAACATGCTTCTGATGAGATATGTGTGCATGACAACATGCTTCTGATACTATATGTGTGCATGACAACATGCTTCTGATGAAATATGTGTACATGACAACATGCTTCTGATGAGATATGTGTGCATAGCAACATGCTAAGATATGATATGAGCGCATGGAGGCATGCCTCTGTTATGATCCGTTGAGATATTTGTGTCGACAGCTTTGATTTATCCTTACTCTTTATGATAGGATGAGAGTAAGGAATGGATTGTATTTGGGAGGTCGCACCCCTAAAATTATGTGAGGCGCTACTCACTGGGACCCTTTTGGTAGTGTAATGCTCTCTCGCCAGATATGCATATAAGAGGGTCGTATCTTGCAAGGCTAGTGCCTATCAAAAGTCCCAAAGCGCGTTAGGACTGTGTGCGTGTGTGAGCTAGATTTAACCTTGGACCCAAGGTTAGTGCTTCTACTGCAGGACTTCTGTTGTTGTAAATGCTTGTTGCAAGACTTTGGTGGTTTACTGCAGGACTTCCGTTGTTGGAATGCTTACTACAAGAGTTCTATTGTTGTGAATGCTTACTGCAAGACTTCTGTTGTTGTGAATGCTTACTGCAGGGCTTCAGTTGTTGTGAATGCTTACTGCAGGACTTCTGTTGTTGTGAATGCTTACCGCAGGACTTCTATTGTTGTGAATGCTTACTTCAGAATTTTTGTAGTTGTGAATACTTGTTTGATCATATCTAATACTTAATATTGATCTTGATATGAATCGTGTACATATGGTTTATGTATCATACTTATTTACTTTGTCTAATAAGGAATACAGGATATGTGTAAGATCAGAAATGAATCTATCTAATAACATGTATTAGTAGCAGCCGTAGTCTTCTTACCACTATTAGGTTTAGCAGAGAGAGCAGAATGAGGCTGACTCCCTATCAACACATTGAGGTCTTGAACTGGACGACCTTCATAACCCAGAACTGCACGACCTTTGGTCCAAGGGAAGATGGAACAAAGGTCATCAAAAAGCGACCTGCTCTCACCCTCAAGGGAGAGGTATTGGATACCAGCAAGATCCACCGCTATGGAGCAGGGTACGCTAAGCCTCTTCCAGTCTCTATGGTAATCCAATTCATAAACCTTAGCAACAGCTGGAGGCACAAAATGCTTCCCGTGCCTGGTCTCACGCTTGGTGCTGTTAATGGCCTTCCATGCATGGTTCGCTTGCCAATACGAGCAGTTGGTGACATTCCACCATCGTCAGTAACCTTCAGTGGTGTGGCCTATGCGACCATAATGAGGAACAATAAACTTGCTTAAGCCCGTGAGACTAAGGCATGTCTCCCAAGCCATCCTAATGTTATCATTTGTCCAGGACTCTCTGCAACCTCCTGGAACATCTTGCTGTCCATACTTCCTTTCAAAGAGCATTGTGAAAGAGCACCCCTGGTCTAAGCTGTGTTGGCGAGCAAACCAATGAGGGAAATACCCCTCAATCTTCCTATCCCCGACACCTCGGAACGACAAGATGCATCCCCTAACACTTAGGAATACATTACTTATCTAGTCTCGGTGGTGTGCCCATCAAAAATATCACCGAAAGCGTCAGTATATACAAGGTCGGTGAGACCACCTACTAGGAACGGACTACCCCTAGAAAAGAATGAAGCATCAGCCAAGAATTTTCACGCTTCGCCTGGCCCCCTAAAAATGGCCTTCATTCCTGCAATTCTTAACATCTGAGGGCAGCCAAATATGTAATGAACGGGGAAGCTTGTTGTAAAGAGGCCAGGAAGTATTTCCACTCCAAAGGACTCATCCCTGTTGTCTTTAGCCGCATCTTTACCACGCGCAATTGCCCCAAAGCCATGGAATATACTGCAAAGCACCGGTGGAGCTAGGGCATATGGACGCCCTTGAGCAAACAGGATACATAAAAGCAGCCAGGGCGAATAACATTGCCTCTTGACCCTGGTAGTGCAAATTTTCACAAGAAAAAGGTCAGATCGGTGACCAAATAAACCTGGTCTTTCGCAGGACTTCTAGTGTCGGTGCACAGGCTCCTTAGTGTCGTCTTCTTCCCTCACCCCTTGATCGTCATCGTCCCAATGATGTTAGAACTGGGTTCCCTCCTGTCACGGCGATCTCCATGAAAGACGTCTCTTCATGTTGTAAAATATACGGCCTTAGACTTCGACTTCACTTCCGAGTACAGGAGTTGGTAAACTTCAAACATCTCTCGATGACCCAGAGGGGCGGGCTCTCCATTGATGGGCTTATCCCCAAAGATCACTTCATTGTTAGGGATGCACTCTTCATACATGAATCCCAACATGGGCAGCCCACCAATAAAATGCATGTTAAGGAGAGTAATGCCCTCCTCACCATGGTCCAGGTGCCAACTATTGGTCTTGTAGCACCAAGTCTCCAATAAAGCCCTAATAGTGTTAGAACACCTATCATAATAGCCAGCTGAGCTCTGGCAGGCTGCTGCTAGACCACATGCCTCTAAAGCCTGGGCATGTGAATTCCAATGTTCAGGTTCTACCCTCTCAAGTATTTGTGCTCCCCCTCAAAATGGAGTCCACCCGACTCCCAATGCAGACCTTGCATTTCCAGCATCCTCTTGCCTACAGTGGGCAGATTCTCGCTTGAATCAAAATTCCTACGGAGGGCATGGTATATCGGTATACCATCTCCTTGAAGCACGGGCTCCCCGTTCGCATTGTCATAAAGATAGAAGTGGGCACTTTCACCTACATAGGTGATACTCAAAGGCCACTCTAACTTCCGATTGGGCTCAAAAAGAGCTAGAGTGGTGGATCTCACAAAGAAAGCACCTGTATATTTACCAGTACCTAATTCTCCAAGGCACGGTAATTGGGGCGCATCAAGAATTTTGGCTGCAAAACAAGGAGTGAGCAAGTTGACAGTTCAGAAAAAGAGAAAAGCACCAGAAATTTTGCAAAATTTCAGCAGCATCTCCTCTGTATGCACAAAATTGGCAAAGAAGGTGTTTTGCTAACCCAAAGCACCCGGGAGATTCTAAGAAGTCACTAGTCCGTGGGTCAGACGCTCATCGCGAAAAGTGACCTTGAAGAGCTCCCTTTTCTTATCACAAACAATGCCCCAAGAATACTAGGAGTGCATAACTATGCGTGAAAAGCTTAGAAATGCAGAACTATGCAATGGTACGCATGACTATGCCCAATTATTCTCAACTACATCAGAAAATGCAGGAAAATGCATGACAGTGCTCAAGAAGTGCTCAGAAGAAATTTTGATGGCATAACTATGCATTGAAGGTGCAAGAAATGAAGCGAAACTACATTTTTATAAACAAAGAAACACATGAAGATGCCACAAAGGTGCTAAGTTGCTCAGGTATACAAAATTTCATAAGTACATGCTTCAAGATGGTTGTGATGGTTGCAGAACTTTAATGACATTCAAAGCACTTGCAAAAGAACATTTTTGAGTATTCAAGGAATATGCTGCCAGCTGTGATCGATGCAGTGCAAGAAAAATTGGCATTTTTGTCAAGTTTGAAGTTCTCAAGAGGATATGCATGCAGCCTAAAAAGCATGAAGTATGACAAACCAAGCAACAATTACAAAAAGTTCAAACGTACTTTATAGCACTTTTGATGATAACCAGAAAGGTTCGTGATGCTCGGGCATGTGTTGATTATAATCAAAGTTCACAAAGCACAATCATGTTCACAAGGCCGCAGCCAAATGATCATGACGAGCATACCCGGATGTGGCAACCGGTCACTGCTCATATGGCAGCAATACAATATTCATCATGAACATGATGCGCGATGACCTAGCGTAGCTATAATATTTAGGTGTAGTGTTCATGCTCAATGACACTTGAGCTTATATGCCTTGATGAGAAACACAAAGCGTTGCTTGTGATGACCAAGTACAGCCACATGGTGATGGTAAGTGCTCTAAATTCATTCGTGAAGATTAGTCATGCTCAGGAGGCTACAACAGAATATTCCTAACCAGCCACTGTCTGTAAACCGTGGTTCATAATATTCATGTTGTGACCCACCGTGGTTTAGCAGGGGTTCATGATGCTCAGAGCAAAACATAACGCCACAATGCGTATATAGTGCGAGGAAACTTTCGGTGCGTAAACAAGGCTCACAGTGTGACCAAAATGGGCATGACTGAGATGCTCGAATACGCTCAAGAGCACCCCAACGTGCAATCAGAGACACATTATGACCAAGATGACCGAGACACTCAAGTATATTCACGCAACGCCCAAAAACATATTCGTGGTGCTCAAACAGCGTGTAAAGCAGTGCACAGGAAAATGCTCTAAGCATGTGAGCAGTATGCAGGTGGGTGCATGGTGCAGCCAAGGTATGAGGAAAGACGAGCATGACCAAGAGGGTCATGACGATCAAGCACTCAAAGGCACCCAAGCATGGTGCTATGCGAAATGCATTTTGGAAGAAAGAAGTTGCAAGATGATGAAGTATGGTCAAATCATGCTCAAAAGAAAGGAAAGACACCAAAGTTACAGCAAAAAGAACCACTCGGTCATAACATCGAATATATTACGAACAGTGGAAAAATAACATGAGAAGGGCAGTCAAAGTTTTTTAACCGAGCGTCGGCAGCAAAAAGTGGGGTCATGAAATGTTACCTTTGGGATGACGGGAGCTGGTACTAGCCATGGCCATGGTTTCAAAAGGGGCTCAAAGATGTTTTCTCTCTCTCTACAGTAAAACTTGGGGATTCGTAAAACTGTTTTATTTACCGACTGTTAAAAGTTTTTTTTTGTTTTTTGTTTTTTTGGGTAAAAGCCTCTCTCTCTACTCTTCGTTATAGAGTTCCAGGCGCGGGCCCGTCATCTTCCTTTTTATCTCTCTCGTGCGGTAAAAAAATCTCTGCCCGCGCCTAGGCGCACTCCCATCAAATTTCATTAAATCTCTCTCTCTCTCTTGTTCGGTAAAACCCCATGCCCCCGCATAGGCGCGGACCCGTCAAATTTCACTCCATCTCCTCTATCTCGCTCGTCAAAAGTTTCATGCGCGCACTTCGGCTCGGACCCGTTAGATTTCATTCTATGTCTCTCTCTTGTTCGGTAAAAGCCCCATGCCCATGCCTAGACACGGGCCCCTCCAATTTCACCTCATCTCTCTCTCTTTTTCACTCATTAACAGTTCCCTGACCACGCCTAGGCGCGGGCCCATCAATTGCACTACATCTCTCTCTCTCTCTTTCATCAACAGCTCCAACCCTGCATCTAGGTACGGGTACATTCACCTTCTTTCACTTCATTCTTTTCTCATTCACCTTTTCTCACTTCATTCTTTTCTCATCTCTCAATCAACTTGCACGAGCCCATGGTTTAACCATGAGCACAACACATGAATAAAAGAGCTATGCTCCTTGTTCTACCTACACCAACCCCTCAGTGGGTAACCTCAAGCTATGTGAGGCCCAGAACAATTCATATGAATTGCTTGGTCTTTGCATGAATGTTTATCAATGATTATAAGATTTTAGTTTTTAGCCACATGGAGTTGACACGTAAACCGGTGACACAAGTAGAGTGAGCCGCACAACATAATACCACGACAAACATTGGATATTGTAATCCTATCCGAAATAGTTTGTTTAAGATTAATATAAAAAATCACATTTAATAAAAAATCATAGCATTTAGATTAGCTATATACTGTTAGAAGCAGTATTCAAAAAACGGATAGATGACCTGGATCACCCATCTAGAAAACTGGTCTGGATTGGCGAATCAGATAGGTTGGCAAGGACTGAGTTAAAAAATTTTCTAATAATCACTAATTTTTTTTAAAAAAATAGTTTTTAAGGCTCCCAAAAAATAGTGGTATTGCATTATAGTTTTCATTATTTTACTTAAAGTACATAAATACTGAGAGCATGTCTCATGTTTTTATTATTTATTATTCATTATATTCATTTTATAATCAAAACAAAGTTTAAAATGCAACTCATTTGAATAAGATGGATCTTTCTAACTCAAATTTTTATAGTGAAAAAAAAAAGATGTGTACATTAGTTTTGGACTTTTTCATTTAATAAGAGAAAAAAAACTATGATTGTCACAGGACCTATCAAGTTTTTTTTTTTTTTTAGTTCTTTTTTTGAATAAGGTTTTGCTTTATGATGTTACAAATAAAATGGTAGTAGTGTTCATGAAAAAATTTATAAGCACTTCTAATTTTCTTGTAAAAAATAACATCATAAAATTCATAAAGTAACATGTTGCTACCATCCTATTTTTAAAATAGCAAGATGTTTTTTAAAAACCCTGTGTATCCGAGTTTCAAATGAAAAAAATCCTCTTTAAGTAGGCCTCATGCTTAACAGAGCATGTGCATAATATGATTGTGCAACTGCACACAATGCCCGCCAAAATTTTAAATAATGTTCATTTTATTTACACTAATTTTTATGTTTTACATCCTTAATGTATCTTTCACTTTGGGCAGAATAATTTTTATGTTTTACATCCTTAATGTATCTTTCACTTTGGGCAGAATTGGTCTATTTTTTGACAGAATTGTGACAACTAAAATTGTCAAAATTCAAATGAAAATGAACTGATATAACCACTTGAGCCGTTTTTAGTCTTAAATGAACGGCTCTGATGAAAGGCCATCTAGGCCTTTAGCTTCTGTGCATTCCACACCCACAATCACTTAAATCTTTTTTATAAATAAAAAAAGAGCCACCACAAAAGTAATTAATGGACACATTGGTTAAAGAAGTGGAAGAGAGAAGAAGTGGTAGAGAGAAAAGGAGATGATGAATTTGTCTTATTGAATAGCGGTAAGATATATGTGGTGGAAAATTTGTGAGATACGTGGAAGATATGGCTTTACACTTTTTGTTTCTACAATCCAAGCTATGTAATTTCCTAAACACTGCCTTTGATTCTCTCCACCACCAAACACGGTAATACATTCTCTCTTCCTCTCTCTCTCTCTTTGAGCCAGGCTGTGCTGATGGAAAGACTTACAAATGGTTTCGACGTTGCTATTTTTCTGTCTCTGCGCACGCACATGTGCAGTGGGGAGTATCGCGTAGAATCTGCAAGGTGAGCTAAGAGATGGGTTTGAAGATCCATGGAATCGGTTGTCATCATGGAAAGGCGAAGACTGCTACGAATGGGAAGGATTTGAGTGTGACAACCATACCCATGTCATCAAACTCAACCTCCATGCTGCTCATTACCCCAATGATGTGATGAGTGGGCATATAGACCCAGCCTTGGTAGAGCTCAAACATTTGTTTTTCGTCAGCTTAAGCCAGAATGACTTTTGTTATAATCCTATACCAGAGTTCTTGGGTTCTTTGACTGAACTCAAAACTCTAGACCTGTCTCATGCCAGATTTGAGGGCAAGATTCCTCCTCAACTGGGGAATCTCACAAAACTCCAACATTTTGATCTTTCGGAGGATTATGGAGATTTGAGTGTGGACAACCTCTCTTCATTACAACTCCTTAAATTGAATTATTTGAACCTTTCAAAGGTAAGCCTAAATTTTCCCAGGTTCATCCTTGGGCTTCCTCTTCTCACAGAACTGGAAGCACAGAGCTGCAATCTCTTAGATTCCATTCCAACCCCTCATTTACCAAACTCTACTTCACTTCATGTACTTTCCCTTTCTGAAAATCAGTTGACAAGAGTTCCTTCCTAGGTGGCTTGTATTGGTAGCCTTAAACACCTTGATCTCGAATGGAATGATTTGCAACAGTGGGTTCCATATTACCTTGCAAACCTCGAGAACCTAAGAGAGTTGGATCTCTTTACTAACAAATTGAATGGAAACCTTTCTAAGTTGCATGTACTTGATGTCCCTTGTAGCCAATTGAGTGGAATGTCCCTGAAAACATTAGAAATCTTTTTATGTTGTGCGAACTAGATGTCTGCTACAACAAGCTCAGAGGGACGGTCACTGAAGCTCTCTTTGCGAGACTTTGTAAGCTTGGAATCATTAGACTTATCTTGGAATTTGTTGGTGCTAAACATGAGCCATGATTGGGTTCCCCCATTTCAGCTCTACCGTCTTGGCCTACGCTCATTACCTCTTGGGCTTGAGTTCCCTCATTGGATCAAAACTCAACGGAGACTTGAATATTTGGATTTGAAAAATGCAAGCATTTCAAGTTCACTGCCAAAGTGGTTTTGTGATATCTCCTCTCACATTAACAGACTGTACCTTTCAAATAATAGAATGCAAGATCAGTTTCCAAAAATCTACAGACTTGGGCATGGGGCAACCATATATCTGAGTTCGAACCTCTTTAAAGGCCCCATACCCATGCTAGTTCTAGAGGTACAAACTTTAGACCTCTCAAACAACTAGTTTTTTGGTCACATTCCTGCAAACATTGGACAAATCATGTTTGATTTGTGGTACTTTGATGCGTCTAATAATAATATTACGGGAAACATCCCGTCTTCAATAGGAAACCTGAAAGGGATGTTTGCCCTCGATCTCTCAGGAAATGAGCTCTCGGGAAATACACCTCCGAGCTTTTCAAACATGGCATTCTTGAATTTGAATGATAATGAGTTATTTGGAAGCTCACTGTCTTCACTGGGGGCTCTTGAAGGTCTTGATGTGCTAGAGTTGGCAAATAACCGGTTATCAGGAGAACTTCCTCAGGCCTTGAAAAATGGGTCCTCATTGACAACTCTCGATCTTAGTTATAATGAGTTCGCATGAAACATTCCTTCATGGATTGGAGAAAGCCTATCACATCTCAGAAATCTTAATCTAAGATAAAACAAATTCATTGGGAGAATACCCCCAGAATTGTCAGAATTAAGTTTTCTTCGAGTTTTGGATCTCAGTGGAAATAGGTTATTAGGGTCCATACCTAAGAGTTTTGGAAATTTCTCAGCCATGAGGATTGCCATTAAAACCATGGGTGTTAGAAACTATGGATATGTATCAAGGGAGAACGTGGAAAGTTTGGATGTCGTAGCAAAAGGGGAAACACTTGAATATAACATGACTCTAGACTTGGTACAAAGCTTAGATCTTTCAAGCAACCCTTTAGAGGGAGAAATTCCTGAAGAATTAACAAGCTTGATGGCATTGGTCTTCTTGAATTTGTCAAGAAACCATTTAAGTGGAGTCATTCCAGAGAAGATCGCGAAGTTGAAGCAATTGCAGTCTCTAGACCTCTCAAACAATAAACTGTCCGGGTTCATTCTTCCAACAATTTCATCCATGACTTCTTTAAGTGTTCTAAACTTGTCCAACAACAATTTTTCATGACAAATCCCCACAAAAAACCAAATGGAAACATTTAACACATCCATATACTTTGAGAACCCATACTTATGTCTATCTCCCCCTATCCCAGGCTCCAAGGGTAAACATGAACCTCCTCCTTCTGTTGATCGTATTGGAAGGAGCAGGAACATATTTGAATTCCCAGGGCTTGATATGAGCATTGGATTGGGATTCGGAATAGGATGTTGGGGAACCATTCTTCTGCTGTTCATTAGGAAGCCCTAGACAGATGCATGTTTCCGTTTCATGGATAAAATCGTAGTTATGTTGCTACGGTTTTGCAAGTGAAAATGGAAAGGGTGAGCGATCACACCTACAAATGCGTTAGAGTAGTTGAGTGCAAGTGATGTTACTAATTCCCTCAGTTGAAATCTTGTTGTATGTTTGGTGTGCATGGGCCAGAGGGTTTTTGCTTCTCTTGTATTGAATGTTAGTTTGGTTTGTTGAAAGCTTCTTATGCATGTGTGTAATGCTTATTTTACACAAATTTAATGTATTATTGTAGCCTTTTATACTCCACTAAAATTGAAACATTATTGAAGCCTTCTTAAATCAATTAAAACCATGACCCCAAATCAGAAACTTCACAATCTCAATATGCAGATGTTTTGATGCTGCAGCCCTCGGTCTAAGGAAAATTTTCCCAAAGAACATAATTCGGGCCAGGTACATGAAAAATTTTTGAAAAATAAAATATGATAATTTCTTTCTTAGGTAATCAAATCATTTGAGGTAAAAAAAAAAAAAAGAGAATGTAGCCAATCCGCACATTACAGTATGTCTAATCATCATCAACCCTCTCTCTCTCATGTGCATATGGTATACGTTCAGAAAGTCAAGTATGGAAAGGGTTGTATGCACTGAATTTTCTAACTCTATGGGCCACTTGTCCTCTAATGTTAAACTTAAGAAAGGTGACAGGGTTTTAATTTTCCAACTCATTATTGTACCAATAGAGTTGGCGACTGCACATGCCTATTTAAACTCTCTAACATAACGTTTACTCTCTTTCTCTCTCTCAACATTTTCGTTGCTTTATCTTAACATTCTACAATCCACACTGCTCTTTTCTCTCAACTGCACCCTTAATTTATGCATTCCAATTACAAATCTAGCAGATAAAACTACTTGTACATAATGAAACTTGATTAAATATTTTCTTGCATCATAAAGCTTTCTTAAAAATCGATAGATTAGGAAATATTTACAACTTGATTTTTTTTTTGAAAAATTAAAGGATCTCTTTAATACGCAATAAACTACAAATGAATCTTAGGAAATTGTAAGAAAGGACGCTTGAAAATTTGCTACAAACTTGGAATCTCAATCTTTGTTAGTGGTAGTAAACCCACTGAGCTAAGCAGTTAAATATATTTTTTCCAAGACTTAGAAATATGAGAGGATATTTTAGGCTCAAGGACAACTAAGCATATACTGAAAATAAAAATCAGTAAATGCAATAATTCATGTGGGCCCTGAACTGAGAGACTTCTTTCTATCTCAACTTCTTGAAGTCTGTTATGTAAAAGCCTACAATGGACCACAATTGAATGTAGAAGAGAGCCACATGCAGAGACAAAAGACCCACATCGATTATTTTCCACACATACACTTGTAGGAAGCAGGCCTAAAATGGAGAGATGGAAGGAGCGGAAGTGGGGAGTGGTTTATTGATGATTCTCTGTGTGATAAAGCTAGGAGGGCGAGACAAAATAAGGAAAGCGGTTCAGAGGAGGCTTTATGCCGAGATAAGCAAGAGTGGAGAGAGAGAGAGAGAGGCCTGAGTGAAATACACGTAGAAAGAGAGTAGGAGCGAGAGTATGAATGAGAGAGAGGGATCCCTGTAGAGAGAGAAACTTTGTGAAGCAGACGCAGGAAGGAGTAATCTTAGAGAGAGAGGCAAGAGAACCGACTGACGTGCGTGTGTGTAGGTGTAGCTATCTTATATTATCAAAGAAGTGAGAGACGAGACTACAACGGAAAACGACACTACAACATACACCAATCGGGGGTGTATGGTGCATGAAGCCATGTACACATCTACCGTATATCCTAAAAAAGAACGGTTCACAAAGCATGACATACTACGCTCATCGTTAAAAATATGGTCACACAATCACTGTCATCATAGTCCAATCAAGGGTTGGATGGTGATGGAGGGATACAAGATGCACAACTGACTCAATATATATGTTGCGGGACTCACCATCCCTTTATCACCATCTAAGCGTGGACCTGACGGTGATGCCACACACTGTGGACACTTTATATGTGAGCCACTGAAATTGAAAAGACCATAAGGGCATTTGGCAACTCGAAGTAGGAATTAGGATTGTAGATTTCCAATTCTAAAATCTGTAAGGTACCAAATACTTCTTGGTTAACTTGTTTGCAGTATTGGGGATTCTAAAAATTGTTTTTGGTTTAGCAGGAAATTTGTCAATTGGGCCATTTGGAAATTAGCTAATTGTAAATTTTTTTCTTAAAGTTTATATAAGGGTGAGGGCCTAAATAATCAAATTATGACGCACCTCAAAAATATATTATAAGGGGTTTTTTCAAAAACTCCCAATTCGATCATCTCCACCTCAGTTTGGACATGAGAAAAATAAATCTCAAGTATGGGAAATAATTTTTTACACCTAAAAAATAGTGCATTTTACAACATATTATTTATACCGTCCATTTTCAAGATTTTCATATGTTTATAAATCTACTTGATTTTAACCTTTTTTTAAATTTAAAATTTTATAATTAGATATAAAAATAGATTTTGAGATAATCCTAATAATATTTTACATCAAAATTATATACCATGATAAAATTTGAAAGGCACCGTACCTCTACACCTACAAAGGCAACCATATGGAAACTGCACCTTGAAAATATTCAGGCTATCATAAAGATTTCTGATACAAAAATAATATATTTTAGTAGGTGCACTTTACTTTGATATTTTAATGCCTCAACCTTATACAAACCACCCCCTTAAATGAATGTGCTAGTGAAATAATAACTTATCCATGGTAGGTCAAATTGGATGATCTAGATCGCATTAAAAATAAATAAATAAATAAACTCTAAACTATTAGATGACTTGAGAGCATGTTTGTATGAGCATTTATTATCATTATCATCACTATCATCATTATGATGATCATCATCATCATCATCATCATCATCATCATCATCATCATTATTATATTTATTATGGATTGTATACAATGAGACCATTTACCTTTGGTACAGGGAGGTCACAATTACTTATAATTATCTGTTGTGAAATCTTATAGCTTAGGTATGCCACAAAGTACTAGAAAATTTCTTTTAAACTTTGAGCTTAGTCAATGAAATAAATGCAGCCACCCAATTTCTCATCCAATGGTCACGATTAATTGTGACCACCATATACCAAAGGTAAATGGTCTCATTATATACTTTTCCTTATCATTATTATTTTTATTTTATGAGTCAAATTGACCTAAGATATACTTCTCATTCTCATGCAACTATTAAAATAGAAAATAATAGAAACACCCTCGCAAATAGTTGAGAGCATGCCTGAGTATAGCAATTTTATTTTTTTTGCTATATATCGGATTAAACTAACATTTTAGGCAACTAGGCTTCCCACCCTTAAGCATATGTAAAAAGTATAAAAATATTTCAAAGTAATAACAACCTAAACACCCTTGAAACCCTACAATGTAATTCATCAGAAACGTTATCAATCTCAACCATTGGATCTTGATGGGATGGTCTTGACCATATTTAAGTATTTTAGTATAGTTTTTTGAATACATTGGGTTAAATATGAAATTTTAAATGTGTATACATCTAAAATTCATGCACCTATAAAAAAATATAGGAAAAAATATGTGTTTGTAAAAAATGACCAAAATACCCCCAAAGTTTGAGGAGTGTTTTGATCATTCTAAAAATATCTTCTTCTTTTCTTGACAATGATTTTTTTAGAGATATCTTTTATTATATTCTTTGATAGGTGTGTGAGATTTAGAAGTATAGACATCCATCTATCATGTATGCTTTGTATATCTATTGAATCGTAAATGTAAAATTCAATACAAATGAATAGGCACTATAGATTCATAATATTGGCGTAGCACAACAAGGTATCAAATAATGGAATTAAGCATCGGGAACTAGGTCCAAAGTCAAGGGATGGTACAAATTTTATTTATTGTTAGTGTTCTTGAGTTTAAAAGTAATGGAAATTTCTCCAATCTAGATTTCTTCAATGGGGAATTCACTTCAAAACGCAAGAGAAAAAGACACATCTCTAAATCACATTATAAATCTTAAATACTTTTCACATGAATAAAATTACATTACATTAAAAAAAGAATGCATCACAAATCTTCTTTCCCTTTTTCCTCTTTCTTCATGAGCATGTACATCCCTCT